TGGGTCAATTGGGGGATTAAAACCCAAAGTAAAAGGGTAAGTATAGACAAAAGAGTATCCAATCCTAAAAGAAGAAATTCTTTGGTTTATGGAAGGAATTGACATTCGAAGATTATTTTTCCAGTTACAATCTCCTCTGATGGTAGGGATTGTAAGTTCGGTCACTAATGTAGGATATGTGTCAGTTTTGTCTAAACCAGTAACTTGCTTTTGAAGGGATTGTCTATCACTTACAAAAGATAAATCACTTGGTACGATTTCATCAACTAAAGGTTCTCGAGAAGAATCAGCAATTTCTTTACCTTTAGAAGAAGGAGTTTTCAGAATAGAACTCCTAGAAGAAGAACCAGAAGAGCCGCCTCGAGTAGATTCTAACCCTGTACGAAGTCTGCCTCCTCTGTCTCTTCTATGTCTAACAGGGGCATTGGGAAATTTGTATAAAATAGGAACTTTTCTAGGGTTAGGGTTTGGAGACGCCATTGTTGAGCAGAGATGAATCGAAGGGAAGCAAAAATAAGGAAGAAAAACGTTTGCTAAAGATTTATGGAGAAGAAGACAAAGAAAGAAAAGGGGCAAGTTTATATATAAACTCAACCGTCAGTAATTAAAAAGTGTAATGATGGAAAGCCTATAATAAAGGCAACTATCACTTCGTGAATAGTGGAGTTACAAAAGCCTTAGAAAAAGGCTGCAAAATCGCAGAACTAATGAGCAGACGACACGTATATGGTGCATTAAATAGAAGAGACAATTGAAGAGGCAATACTGTCATCGCATTGATTATGGCAAAAATTCTCTTTTTAATGAAGATCCACTTCCCAAATATTTAATTGATAAATAAATAAAAAGTGGGGGGACTATCTGTATTCGGAAAAAGTTGAATTTATATTGAAGATGAAGTGGCGTGACACGTGGACTGGACAAATAGTCAAAGTATAACAATTAAGAAAAAGGTACGGGAGATGACAGGTACGAGAAGAGGAAGTGAAACAGGCACGAGAAGCAGTTTAGATACGAGTCTCGTATCAATTCGAGTCATTTAAAGCCAATGGATCAGAAAGCATTGAAAACATGGATCTGAAGACAAAAAGGAGTCCAAATTCAGTATTAAATACCTGATACGTTAGAAAATTGGTATTTAATAGGAATGATTGTGTAACGGCTCATTTAATATCATTTATTGTCCATAATTGTCTCATTAAAGCTTAGGTTTCATTCCTTTATCTAGAATCAACTATAAAAGGAGGAAGTTGTATTGGGAAAAGATCATTGTTGACATCATACTGAAATAAAAACTTGTTCGCTGCTTTATTATTATTCTCAGAAAGCCTATTATTCTTTTTTGGTCTCTTGATTATCAGTAACCCGATTTTTCATCTCAAATTCTAGTTTTAACCGAAATTATATTTTTTGGTTAAACAATTTTTTTTTCCCTTTTATGATATTTGACTTGCTCTCGTAGAAAATCTTTAAACGTTTTCTCTCCACCATTGGTAGTTGACATGCATATTCCCACTCAGCTAAACGTGGAAAGTTGCAAAAACCAAGACAAAAGTCACGTATATATGAATCTTTTAGTCCGTCAACATCAATCTATCTATTATTAAAAAGAAAGAAGTCGGCCATGAGAATTCGCCATGTGTCGTGTGAAGAAAATGCCATATGGCAATTTTAGGACATAATTAGTTATTTTAGTTAAAATTAGTTTACTTTTTAAATTTGAATTTCAAAATAATACAATATTTATTTTTTTACTTTTAAAAAAAATTTACTTACCAACAAAGAAGTTACAAAGAAAGGAATAGAATTCGGGAATAGGAAGTTACGATTGTGGATGTTTAAAAATAATATATCAATTTTTTTACATTCTTTAAAAATTAGTTTACTAACAAGGAATAAAACTTAAGAAGTTACCAACAAGGAATCAACTCCATTCATGCGTGCCTTTCCATGTAAAGTTCTAAACCCTAAGGGGTCTTAACTTCAAACAACCCACGATGTGATCCCATGATCTCAACTCCTAACCCACTAATCCTTGTTCGTCGGAGTCCCAAAAACATGATTTTTCAGATTTTTCACACTTTTACAATATATACATCCAATTCTTTTTCCTTTCTTCGCATATCACTCAACAATTCTGGATTACAGGAGGTAAGTTCTATAATTTGTAATTCTAGAACACTCATTAAATTTCTAGAAAGAGCAACGATTTTTTACTTCTTTCTTCCTTTCACTCCTTTCTTCTTCAGATTATGAAGAGATATTTAACTTGAATATAGAAAAGCAACAAATTTTCGAGTTCTTTTCTTCCTTTCACTCATTTGCTTTTCTCTTCTTTCGTTGTTATATAGTTTCAATAGAAAAGTAACATGCTACTAATAATTGCATTACAAAATCAAAGGTCTGATTTTGTAATGCGATTCTAAGTGATCTGAAATTTTTTCAATCTGGCATCAAGTGGAGCACTGATTATTTCTTGAAATGCAGTTCCAAGCTTAATCGCTTCTTCATCCATGTTATTCCCAATGGTTTTCAAGAATATTGAGAATTAATTTATATCCTATTTTTTGATATATTAATTTTTGTATATATTATATTTATATAAAATTATAAGTTAATTTTATTATCATTGTTTTATTATCCCTGCAACTATGGGCGATATGTATATGCACTTGAAGTGTATTTTAGGAAATCTACTCTAGCTTTTGCTTCTTATAGTTATCCAACCTTCTCTACTAATCGTGTTTTAGTGCATAAATATTGGTGGTCCCTCACATGCAATCCTATGAAATTCATATATTTGTTTTTTGATTTAATTCTTTAGAATGTGATCGCTAAATTTAGTCTGAAATAAAGACATATTTGTACTATATCATTTTTTCCTTTGAAACAATCCGCGCATCGCGCGGGTACGTATACTAGTAACTATAATTTCACAAAAGAGTGATAATGGTTTCTGATATCAGAAATTTTAAAAGAAAAACAGATAGAAGAGCCACTGCAAGTTCAACGCAATTGAACTAGTAGCACTCTTCCACTTTTTTGTTTTCTTTCATTCATTATCTGTTATTGTACATTTAAAGTGTAAGGTATGCTTTTAATAAATGGTGTGAGACACTTTTAAGGGAAAAGCGTGGGAGTTTGGCCCAAAAGTATCACACATATTAAGGGAGCCGCTAACAATTAGAGCCAATGGTTCGATAATACGAATATGGAGATAGGGCTCCATTTGCTAACTTTGACAGGAATATGGAGATGATAGAGTGATAAGAAAGGGCTCGATTTGCTACCTTTACCATGCCAAGGTAGCTTGGAGATGCATGCGCACAAGAAGTAACTAGCTATGGGTTCTGATGGCCGTAAATGCTCGATCGTCAATGAATCTTGAAAATTAATTAGTGGATTATGGTAATGGATCACATGAAATTTCAGAGTCTTGTAGATGGGCCAGTTGTAGTGGGGGCTTGTTAATTGGCCATGTGGAGCTTAGTTTGAGGTAAAATTGTTGGATATGCGATCAAGTGTTCCAAAGGTCAAAGCAGACAATATTATACAATGTTAATCATATTTGTTAGGATCGGAAACCCGGGTAGTGTGGAATTTAGCCAAACAATGTTATAATGACTGTATGAGTCCAAATTTGGACAACCACAGCTATTTGCCAAAGGCAATGGAAGACGAGATCTTCGTAAGCGGGACGTCCTACGAGAGATGACAGATAACGGATAGAGGACGGACGGCTGTTGCAGCAGTGTAGGCCCAATTAGGGATATTTTGGAATATTCCCATGTATATTCCCTAGGGTATGTCCTCTAGGGTACAGAAATAGATTAGCCCTTATATATAGGGCAAGGGATACCTAGTAAGGGGGCTCTCTCGAACTTTGGAGAACGATTCATTTGAAAGCAAAACTTGTAAACTCTCTCTATATTGAAGATTCCTTCTCACTGTACAATTATCGCCTTTTACATAAAATCAATAACTACTTTCCATTGTGTTCAATACTTGCATCTTATGTTCTAGAGCTTATTATGCTTAGCTGAGATTTACCCCTTCATTTTCTTTGATTGATTTATTCAATTAGATTCCAATATCTTTTGAATCAAATAATTTGACGCCGTCTGTGGGGATTTCTTTAGCTGGGACGTTAGTTTCATCTAGATCCTTGAAAGAAATAATCACCTCTTCCTGGCCTCGCAAAGATCAACAATGGCAGGAAAGGGGGAAGCGACACTAAAAGTAATAGCAGGCGTCGCTAGCAACCTTATGGATTCTATCAATGAGGCCGGGAAGACAATGAAAATACAACGCCAGGCGCCACACCCGAGGGAGATACCTCACCCCCCCCCCCCCCCGCACGAAGGCGTGACCGTCTCGCGCGAGAGGGAAACTTCAACATCCACAGTAGGAGAAGCTCCACCTGCTGTGAAAAGACTATTAGAAGAGTGGTTAACAAACACCTTGAGCGGTATACTCGACAAACCTGTTCAAAGGGATATCGGAGGCACAATGCGCGCTGACACCACAACTATCACTGACGAACCAGAAACTCCATGCGTAGGTAATACTCACACTGACAACGATGCAGGTGACGACGCGCTTGCAGCCATCCTAAAGAAAATGGAAGAAATGGAAACTGAGAATAAAACACTACGTGATCAGATGAAGGAGCACCAAGAAAGGGTCGATAAAATACCGGGCGCTCCAAAGATGTTACCAAAACGAGACGTCGGCCAATTCATCGAGCAAACCTACAGTGAAGTGGCGACCCCCCATGATATTCCAAAAACCTTCAAAATGCTGCCATACTTAAAAATATACGATGGCACCACAGACCCAAAAGATCACATAGTCCACTACGTCACGACAGTGAAAGGCAACAATCTGTTGAAGAGCAGGTGTCATCGGTGTTGCTGAAAAAGTTCGGTGAAATCCTAACAGGGGGAGCACTGACATGGTACTCCCAACTGCCGGCACGATTGATATCAACGTTCGAAGAAATGGCAGATAAATTCGTCATCGCTCATGCGGGAGCCAAAAAGGCAGAAGCCAGGGTAAATAACATCTTTGCCGTTAGACAAACGACAGGCGAGGGACTTCGGGATTTCCTAGCCCGGTTCAACAGGGTAAGAATGAGCCTACCCAATGTATCGGAGGGGATGGCGGTAGCAGCCTTCCAAAATGGGTTAAATAGAAATGGGTCGAAAGCAACGAAAAAGCTGCTAAGTAGGCTCATGAAATACCCTCCCACTACGTGGGAAGAAATCCATAACGCATATTGTGCCGAAGTAAGGGTAGATGAGGATGACACAAATGGTCCGATCCAACGGCTAACCTCAGTACAAACCGAAATAAGGAGAGACTACCGTAACAACGGTCAAAGGGACCAACTATCCCGTTTCAATCGAGAGAGGCATTAGCCCTACATCTGGAAATCCATCCCACCTCCACCACGACATGCAGACGTCACACCTCGACGCACCGTGCCACAGCAAAATGAGAGAGGTATGCCCTCATTGTTATCTACTCATAACTTTTGCGTTTCTCCTTCAGAAATAGTGTATGCACTAGAAAAGCTCGGCACGAAGGTGCAGTGGCCGCAAATAATGAAGTCGGATCCAAGCACCCGGAGATCAAACGTTCTGTGCGAGTTCCATCAGGAAAGGGGACATAAGACCGAAGATTGCATAGGCTTGCGACAGGAAGTGGTAAGAATGCTGAACCAAGGACACCTGAAAGAACTGTTGATCGATCGAGGACGGGCTAACTTCGCTCATGGACGCGATCAACCCCAAGGACCCCCAAAAACACCTTCACCGGCTCGTGTCATACAAATGATCATTGGCGGCGGTAACAATACAGTAATCAACCATGTGAAGCTCACCACTACACACAAATTCAGGCGAACAGTCGCTGAGGAACGGTATGATGACCTCGAAGACAGTATCATCTTCGATAAGTCAAATACCCACGGTTTGTATTTCCCTCACTATGATGCTCTGGTTATAACTTTATGTATTGCGAATACCGATGTAAAAAGAATAATGGTGGATGACGGAAGCGGTGCGTGTATTATCCACCCACGAGTCCTCGCACAGATGAGACTTGAAGATAAGATAGTATCGCGCTGCATAACACTAACGGTTTTTAATAATGCAGTTAAACGAACCTCAGAAGAAGTAACGCTGCCCGTTCTGGCTGGAGGAGTCACTCTGGAAATGACTTTTCACGTCATGAATCAGGAAACAGCCAACAACGCTATCATAGGACATCACGTCCATGGATACACGCCATGCGAGCCGTCCCTTCAAGTTTCTACCAAGTGATCAAATTTCCTACCCCATGGGGAATATTCAGCATCCGGGGCGAGCAACGTGCCGCCCAAAATGCTACCGTATCACCCAAGATTGCGCGCACACCCAACAACTAAAGGGAGCAAGCGCGGAAGCATAGCAATCAGCCATGTCGGGAACCAAACCCGACATACAGACGGAGGCCATCAAAGAACCAGATGTCGTAGAGGCCTACAAGGCAACTGTGGAAGACCTCGACCCCGTTCAATTGGACAATGCTGACAGCATAAAGAAAGTTTATATCGGGCACAACCTCTCAGAACCAGGTAAGTTCCATGAATTCTTAACTAACAACGCTGATCTGTTTGCCTTCTCCCACTCAGATATGCCGGGAATCCCAAGGGACATCGCCACACATCGGCTGAATGTCGACCCTCTTTACCCGCCTGTGCGGCAAATGAGGAGAAAGTTCAACGCTGCAATCAAAGACGCAGTTAGCGAAGAAGTCGATAAGTTACTCGCTAATGGTTCCGTCAGAGAATCAAAGTATCCTGAGTGGGTCGCCAATGTGGTCATGGTAAAAAAGAAAAACGGGAATGGCGGATGTGTGTCGACTTCACCGACCTAAACAAAGCATACCCAAACGATTCCTTCCCGCTACCACACATCGACCAGCTCATCGACGCAACAGCGGGCCACGAACTATTAAGCTTCCTAGATGCCTATTCTGGCTACAACCAAATCCTAATGGCAGAAGAAGATCAAGAAAAGACCACCTTCATCACCCACCAGGGGACATACTGCTACAGAGTTATGCCGTTCAGACTCAAGAACGCAGGGGCAACATACCAAAGATTGGTCACCAAAATGTTAAAAGAACAACTTGGAAAAACTATGGAGGTCTACATCGACGACATGTTAGTGAAGTCAAAAAAGAAGGAGGATCACATTGGTCATCTGAAGGAAGCCTTCGAAATATTGAGGCAATACGGAATGAAATTGAACCTAGAAAAATGCGCCTTTGGCGTAGCCTCGGGTAAGTTCCTCGGTTTTCTAGTATCACAAAGGGGTATCGAGGTCAATCCAGACCAGATCAAGGCCATCGAAGGAATACCAGAGACGTTGACCAGCAAAAAGCAGGTACAGAAGCTAACGGGATGAATAGACGCCCTATCGAGGTTCATCTCACGGTCGTCAGATAGGTGCTATAAATTTTTCAATGTACTGAGGAAGGATCACGAATTACGGTAGAACTCGGAATGTGTCGACGCCCTAAAGAAATTAAAAGCATACCTATCCTCACCGCCACTACTGGTCAAGGAAGATCCAGGCGAATGCCTCCTAGTGTATCTAGCAGTCTCCGAAGTCGCGGTAAGTGCAGTTCTGGTCCACGAAAGCAAAGGTACGCAGTCTCCAATCTATTATGTCAGCAAATCCCTAATTGATGCCGAAACAAGGTACCCCACCTTGAGAAATTAGCTCTGGCATTAGTCGTAGCTTCACAGAAGCTTAGACCATATTTTCAATGTCACCCCATAAAAGTGGTGACAACCTTCCCCCTCAGGGGCATCATACACAAACCCGAGCTATCGAGCATGTTGGCCAAATGGGCCATAGAATTAAGCGAGCACGATATAACATATCAACCGCGAACTGCTATAAAGTCGCAAGTGCTTGCCGACTTCGTCACCTATTTCACATTGCCTGAGGCAGAGTAGGAGGCGCTTCGAGCATCATCTCCCTCCGATCTATGGGTCCTCTATATCGACAGTTCATCTAACGCGTCGGGCTCTGGACTGGGACTCGTCCTTGAAGTCCCTACAGGCGAAGTGATTTTCCAATCCATATGATGCCCCAAAATGACTAACAACGAGGTCGAGTATGAAGCTGTGATTGCAGGATTGAAATTAGCCCTAAAATATGGCGCTCGACGACTCGTCTTACATTGCGACTCCCATCTCGTGGTGAATCAAGTCACTGGGACTTTCCAAATCAAAGAAGCGAGACTACAAAAGTACCAGACAGAAATTACCAAACTACTACCAGAATTCGATGAATGCCGACTCGACCAGATACCCAGAGCGCAGAATGCCGAAGCAGACGGCCTCGCCAAGTTGGCGGCAGCCACCCAAAATATCAACAAAGAAAACGTGGTCACCCTCCTCCATTCCTCGATAGACCAGGTCGAGGTACATTCTATAAATCTGACTTGGGACTGGCGCAATCGTATCATAACTTATTTGCAGGAAGGAACGCTCCCGCAAGATAAGAAAGAAGCCAAAAAGCTCCGAATACAGGCGGCCAGGTACAACCTCGTGAATCACGGCCTTTACAAACGGACGTTCGGTGGTCCCCTGGCCAAATGCCTCGGACCAAACCAAACGAGGCGGGTATTAGAAGAAGTAAACGAGGGGCATTGTGGTGCTCATATAGGAAAGCGTGCCCTCGTCAGATGCCTCATCCACACGGGATACTATTGGCCCACCATGAAAAAAAAGCCGTAGACTACGTCAGGAAATGTGAACAATGTCAAAAATACGCCCCTATGATACACCAAGCGGGAGAACTGCTGCACTCCGTCACTTCGCCATGGCCATTCATAAAGTGGGGGATGGATATTGTCGGACCCCTTCCGGCAGGACGAGGTAAGGTACGCTTCCTTTTAGTTTTAACTAACTATTTTTCCAAATGGGTGGAAGCAGGTGCATACACGCAGATACGTGAACAAGAGGTTATCGCATTCATATGGAAAAATATAATATGCCGCTTTGGCATTCCCAAAGAGATCAGCAGCGACAACGGACCCCAGTTCGTCGGAAAGAAAACAACCAAGTTCTTTGAAAAATGGCACATCAAGCGAATACTCTCCACACCATACCACCCTGCCGCTAACGGTCAAGCCGAGTCTTCCAATTAAACGATATTGAATATATTAAAAAATAAGCTCGAAGACGCCAAAAGGTTATGGCCCGAACTACTGCCGAAGTACTATGGGCATACCGCACCACGCCAAAAACTAGCACAGGTGAAACACCATACTCCTTGGTCTACGGGACTGATGCGGTTATACCCATCAAAGTCGGAGAACATAGCCTGAGATTCTCCAACGAGAGCGGACCAAGTAACGACGAAAGTAGATTGCAAGACCTAGATGAAGTCGAGGAGTGAAGGGTCATGGCTCACATAAGAATGGTAGCCCAAAAACAACAAGCAGAGAGATACTATAACAAGAAAGCCTAAATACGACTACTCAAGGTCGGAGACTACGTTCTCAAAGCTAAAACACAGGCAGCAAAAGACCCTAATGAGGGAAAGCTGGGAACAAATTGGGACGGGCCATACAAAATCACAGCCTCAGCAAACAAAGGAGCATTTCAGTTAGAGACAATGGAAGGAAAACTACTCCAAAACAATTGGAATGTCACCCATCTCAAATACTTCCACTTCTGAAAAGAGGCGCCCCCTAAGTCGTACTCTTTTTCCCTCATCCGGGTTTTGTCCCAATCGAGTTTTCTCGGTGAGGTTTTTACTGAGGCGGCAAGGGAGACGCCTAGAGGTCCGAAGTGCTATTCATTACCCCGCCCGTCGATATCATCTCCAGGCCGAGTAATGAAGGGACTGGGCATAGATAGCCAAATCTCCATTGTATGTACAAAGTCAACACGTATTTTCTACGAGCATGTAATCAAATCTCTATTTTACGTACAAAGTCAACGCGTATTTTCTACAAGAATATAATCAAATCTCCATTGTGTGTACAAAGTCAACACGTACTTTCCACGAGAACATAATCAAATCTCCAACGAATGAATGAAACTAGCATCCACTATACTCCAACTGACAGAATAGAGCTCCACCCTTACGATGGGATACTACTTCGACGCAAGTTTGGAAGTAACATCCCAATGGCTAAGGCCATCGACTAAGAAACATGTTCGACCTCGCTCGAACTATGACGGGATACTACTTCGACGCCAGTTCGGAAGTAACATCCCAATGGCTAAGGCCATCGACTAAGAAACGTGTTCGACCTCGCTCGAACTACGACGGGATGCTACTTCGACGCCAGTTCGGAAGTAACATCCCAATGGCTAAGGCCATAGACTAAGAAACGTGTTCGGCCTTGCTCGAACTACGACGGGATACTACATTGACACTAGTTCGGAAGTAACATCCCAATGGCTAAGGCCATCGACTAAGAAACGTGTTCGACCTCGCTCGAACTACGAAGGGATATTACTTCGACGCCAGTTCTAAAGTAACATCCCAATGGCTAAGGCCATCGACTAAGAAACGTGTTCGGCCTCGCTCGAACTATGACGGGATATTACTTCGATGCCAGTTCTAAAGTAACATCCCAATGGCTAAGGCCATCGACTAAGAAACGTGTTCGACCTCGCTCGAAAAAAGAGAGGAGATAAAAAAGGAGTCTGACCTCACTCGAAATAAAATTGATCTGACAGCCCGACAAATGCCCAGAATGTCATGAAAACTACAAAGGATACCACCAAATCAACAAAACAATTTCTTCATTACAACAAATTGTTACTAGCACCTATCTTTACAGTGGGCTCAAATACGCCCCTACAAAAATCCTACGACAAAATAAAGTACAAACAAAAATTTGCTATTATACATCGTCTGCGGTACTATACACATCTTCATACCAAGAGTCGATAGCAAGATGGTTCGCATCATCAGAATTGATGTTATCTCCATCAGGTGAAAGAGGGGCGTACCCACATGCCTCACGAGCTGCACGAGCTTTGGGACGAACATCCTCAAGCTTGACGTCAGACGCCCTCTCCTCAGCATGAAGAGCCTTGTAAACATCGAGCTTGGCCTCGGCATGAACCCACAACTCGTATAAATAACGAGGCACACCAGGATCAGCTGAAGCACGAGATGTAGAAGGTTGTGAGTTTCGATGCATGTCTTCCGCCCTCAGTGACGCCACCTGCCCGGTCATTACGGATAACTCCCCCTCCAGCTCCTTTACACGCCCCTCGAGCCCTGCTACCTTAAGCTCAAAC